AGAAGTTGAAAATCTTTTTATTTATTTTAAATATATTTTATTGATCATGCCATTACAGTTGTCCCATTTTCCCCCCTTCACCCTGCACACCCTCTCCCACCCACATTCCCCACCTTTAGTTAATGTTCATGTGTCATCCTTATAAGTTCTTTAGTTTCTACATTTCCCATACTATTTTTACTCTCCCCTTGTCTATTTTCTACCTACCATTTATTCTCTGTACCTTTTCCCTTTCTCTTCCCACTTCCCCGTCACCTTCCATGTGATCTCCATTTCTGTGGTTCTGTTCCTGTTCTGGTTGTTTGCTTACTGTTTTTGTTTTTAGGTTCATTTGTTGTGAGTTTGTTGTCATTTTACTGTTAATATTTTTAATCATCTTATTTTTCTTAGATAAGTCCCTTTAACATTTCATATAATAAAGGCTTGGTGATGAGGAACTCCTTTAACTTTACCTTATCTGGGAAGCATTTTACCTGCTCTTACATTCTAAATGATAGCTTTGCTGGATAAAGTAGTCTTGGATACAGGTCCTTGTCTTTCATGACTAGGAATACTTCTTTCCAGCCCCTTCTTGCCTACAAAGTTTATTTTCAAAAAATCAGCTGATGGTCTTATGGGAACTTCTTTGTAGATAACTGTCTCCTTTTTCTCTTGCTGCTTTTAAGATTCTCTTTAATCTTGGGTGATTTAGTTGTGATGTGCCTTGGTGTGTGCTTCCTTGGGTCCAACTTCTTTGGGACTCCTTGGAGCTTCCTGGACTTCCTGGAAGTCTATTTCCTTGGCCATATTGGAGAAATTCTCCATTATTTTTTCAAAGAAGTTTTCAATTTCTTTGTCTTCCTCTTCTTCTTCTAGCACTCCTATGATTTGGATGTTGGAATGTTTAGTTTTCCCAGAGGTTCCTAAGCTTCTCTCTTTTTTTTTTTTTTTCGAATTCTTGTTTCTTCATTCTGTTCTGATTGAATGTTTATTTCTTCCTTCTGCTCCAAACTGTTGATTTGAATCCTGGTTTCCTTCCCTTCACTGTTGGTTTCCTGTATATTTTTCTTTATTTCACTTTGCATAGCTTTTATTTCTTCCTCTATTTTGTGACCATACTCAACCATTTCTGTGAGCATTCTGATTATCAGTGTTTTGAACTCTGCATCTGATAGGTTAACTATGTCTTCATCGATTACTTCTGTTTTTTAGCTTTAATTTGTTCTTTCATTTGGGATATATATATAATTTTTTTTTGTCTCAGCATGCCTGTTACATTGTAAGGGGCAGAGCCTTAGGTATTCACCAAGGTGGGGCAACCCATGTGGCTGTGTTGTGGCTCTGTGTGTGGGTGAGGTTTCTGAGAGGAAACAATACCTCTTGCTTGGCTCTTGCCCTACTTTAAGTCACTTCCCCTGGGACTCACAAGCAAATTGGGCCTTTCTGGTGCTGATTCCCAGGTGAGTAGGTTTTTGTATATTCTAGGATCCTATAGGTCTCTCCAACGAACTCTCCTGTGAGACTGGGAGTTTCTCCCACCACCACAACCCCCACAAGTTTTTACTGCCAGAGGTTTTGAGGCTTTATTTCCCTGCATTAGAACCCTGGGTCACATGGTGTGTGTTGCTCCCTATTTCTTCCTCTCAGTTTATCTGCACGCAAATTTGGGACCACCCGGTCCACCAGCTGCCACCTTGCCCACCTGGTCTTCCAGCCACCACCTTGCTGTGCATCCTCTCTGCCCTGGCTGCCCATCTCTGCCCCTCCTGCCAGTTTTAAATGAATGTTTCTTCTTTAGTTCCTTGGTTGTCAGACTCCCACACAGTTCGATTTCTGTCAGTTCTGGATCTTTTTTTTTGTTTCTTTTTCTCCTTCTTTTGGTTGTACAAGGAGGTACATTTAGTTGTACCTATGCCTCCATCTTGTCCCCAGTCCAATAAAGAGAGAATCTTAAATGCAGCAAGGGAAAGGTAGAGAGTACCTACAAAGGAGTTCCCATAAGACTATCAGCTGATTTCTCAAAAGAAACTTTGCAGGCAAGAAGGGACTGGCAAGAACTATACAAAGTGATGAAAAAGCAGGGACCTACAACCAAAATTATTCTATCCATCAAAGCTATCATTTAATATTGAAGGACAGATAAAGTGTTTCCCAGACCAGGTAAAGCTAAAGGAGTTCCTCATCACCAAGCCCTTACATGAAATGTTAAAGGGACTTATTTAGGAAAAAAGAAGATCAAAACTATGAACATTAAAATGACAACAAACTCACAACTGTCAGCAACTGAGTCTAAAAAATAAGAGCAAATTAAGCAAATAACAGCAATAGAATTATAGACATGGAGATCATTTGGAGGTTTATCAGCCGGCAGGAGGAAGAGGAGAATGCAGGAAAAGGTATAGGGATTTAGAGGCATAATTGGGTAGGTACAGAATAGACAGGTGGATGTTAAGAATATTAGAGGAAATGGAGAAGCCAAAGAACTTACATGCACAACCCATGGATGTGAACTAAGGATGCAGTGATTGTACAAGGGAAGGGGGGAACCCGGTGGATGGGAGCAATGGGGGAAAAACTGGGACAACTGTAACAGGAAAATCAATAGAATGCACTGAAAAGATAAAGAGGAAATGTTAAAATCAGCAAGAGAAAAGCAGTTTGTTGCCTACAGGGGAGTTTCCATAAGTCTGTCAGCTGATTTCTCAAAAGAAACCTTGCAGGCTAGGAGGGACTGGCAAGAAATATTCAAAGCCGTAAAAAGCAGATCCTATAGCCAAGATTACTATTATTTAGAATTGTAGGGAAGATAAAGAGCTTCCCAGACAAGAAAAAACTAAATGAGTTCAACAAACCATTATTATATGAAATGTTAAAGGGACTTATTTAAGAAAAAGATCAAAACCATGAGCAAGAAAATGGCAAAAATATACATCTATCAACAATTGAATCTAAAAAACAAACTAAGCAAGTAAGAAGAACAGAGACAGGATCATGGATACGGAGAGGATTTTGATGGTTGCCAGATGGGAGAGGGGTGAGGAGGAATGGATGAAGAGGTGAGCAGATTATAAGTACAAATAGGTAGTTACAAAATAGCTACAAGTATATAAAGTACAGTGTAAGAAATGGAGTAGCCAAGGAACTTGTACACAGGACCCATGGACATGAACAGTGATGGGGGGATTGCCTGAGGGAGTGGGGGGTGCTGGGTGAAGAGGGGCAAGGGGTAAAAATCAGGACAACTGTAATAGCACAATCAATAACATATAATTTAAAAAAGACTTTACAATTGAATTAATTTCAAAGCTTGTGAAACACTTCTTTACTACATAAGTCATGAAACAATGTATCAAATTAATGTTTAAATTAACAGTTGATGTAATGATTCAGTAATAAACTGATCAAGTTTTTTTCCTTTTTTAAAAATTGCTTTTACAGTTTTCTGCCTTTTCGACCCACCCCTCCCCAAAGTTTTTTTTTTAATTAATTCATTCAGAGTGTAAAAAGCTTAATAACACTATGATAGTCAGAAGAACAATTTCACTTTGAAGGTATGTATGTGCTTAACAAAGTGATTGGTAATGTATTTTCCTGAAACTCCCAACTGGCATACAGTATTCTTTTTATTATCTTTCATATACATTATATTACTTGTGTTTTTATATAGTGGGAGAACATAGACTTGAAATTTTTATGTAAAAGAAATACATAAACCCTGTCTTTTGAAGGTAACAGACAGTTTGAAATAAAATGGTAAAAGTAGGACTTGAACTAAGGGTGGGAGGGAGGGAATGCCAAAGCAAATAACCAAACAACCATGAAAAAAAGAACCCATGGATTGATCCATTCAGAGATTTCTGCACTTAGGCAGACAAGGGAAAAGAAGCCTAAGGTAGCCACAGTGTTGAAAGTTACAGAACCTTGAGATAATAAACCACTGACAAATTTGGGTAAGGTAGGGAGGGGAGTGGCCTGCTTGGAGGAAAAGATGATGTTTGTTTTTTCTCCTCTCCAGTCTGTTGCTTCACAACTTCTCTGAAGCCATTTCTCAGTACCTTTGAAATTTGTGTTAATGGCCCCCAAAAGTGAAAAAGTTTAAAATCCAAAGCCCTAGATGGCTATTTTTCTTAATTAATTTTTAGTTGATTTTCCTTAATTAGGCAGCAAATGCCCAATATTCGTCTAAATTCAGTTTTTAACATCACATTCCAGGAATTTATAAATCGGATTTCGAGAAGGTAGCCCGGGGAATAATCACTGGAGTGAGAGAGATCAGGATCTTCATCGAGGTTCTGCCACTAATCTATGTGGCAATGGATTTTATGATTCCTTAAATATGTCGAATGACTATATGACACTTAAGTTTCCTGCCTGCGCTGAAAGTTCTAAGTTTCCCTCCTTAAGCAATAATAAAACGTACCCATGTGAATTCTACTTATCCTACAGGTGAGTTGTGGCAAGCAATTGTCAGGTGAGTCATAGGATCTTTTCTCCCCACCTCTCAAACAATGGAGTGAACCCTACTTACAAGCTTTTTTGGTGGCCGTTAAATTATAGGATTTGAAGAACTACAATAGTACAGATAAAATCCCGGGCCAGGATGTGTCCAAAGCAGGGACACCAAAGGGTGCTAACTCTTACAGCCTTCATCGGAACAAACTAAAGGACTGAGCTGCAACGGCGCACGAGCGTCTCGCCTGCTTCTTGCGGGTACCGCTTTACTACCCAGTAAGCCCATACTCTTTTTTGCATTATCAGGCGGGAAGATCTCTACTTGCCTAAACGAATGTGGGCCTAGTTTTCGGAGATCTGCTCAGACTTTGGGGAAGTAATAATGCCCCAGGAAGTGGTCTAAAGGCTCCTCCAGGATTCCCAAGCTGAGAGGAAGGGAGTCCGCCGGGGGTCGCAGGGGCGAGCTCGACCCACTCCGGATTCCTGGGCCCCGCCTGACCCGGAAGGGCTGGAACGTGGTAACCCCAGCTTCCCTAGCAACCGAGCAGGAGCTGTGCTATCCCGCCCAGCTGCTAGGTCTGCCTCGCAGGATGCCCCTGCAGGTGAGGGATTACAGTTGGCAGCAGACGAAGACTGCGGTCTTTATCTCTGTGCCCCTCCGAGGTGTCTGCATTAGAGATGCTGACGTGTTCTGCACGGAAAACTATCTGAAGGTAGGAACGCGAGTCGGCCTGCGGGCCCCCCCAGGGTGTGGTCCGAAGCGTCTGCGAGAGAGAGCCCAGGTGTGCGTGAACTGGCGCGTCCTTCCACAGAAACCTCCTAAAGTTTTAGTGCTGTTGAAAGCAACAACAAACGAATCCCATAAAGGTGATACCGCATCTGTAAGCAGCTGTTATCAAATCAGAGATTATTTTTTATCCAGGGCTCCCTACATGTATCTTGCTAATCTTTAGCGACCTGGCATAAATTTATAGTGGGCATTTAAGAAAATGATTTTAACGTTTATCACTACTTTATTAACGTCTGTGTTTTTAATTAGTGTAACTAAATTAACTTTCGTTCCCCCCCGCTTCTGAATAGGTCAACTTTGCTCCATTTTTATTTGAGGTGTTTCTCTATGCTCCCATAGACGACGAGAGTAGCAAAGCCAAGATTGGAAATGACACTATTGTTTTCACCTTACATAAAAAAGAAGAGGTCATGTGGGAGACCCTTTCTGTGTCAGGTGGTAAGTATTTTAAAAAATATTTTATTTATTTATTTTTAGTGAGGGGAAGGGAGGGAGAGAAATATCCATGTGTGATTTCCTCTCCTGCAGCCTCTTCTGGGGACTTGGCCCACAACCCAGGCATGTGCCCTGACTGGGAATCCAACCAGGGGTTCTTTGGTTTGCAGGTGGCACTCAATCCTCAGAGCCACACTTGCCGAAATCAAATTTATTTTTTAAATATTTGTGTTTTCATATGATTCATTTTCTTTATAATTATCTGAATTTTACTTCATGCATTTGAAAACATTTCGAAGGGGTATATACAGCTTTATTCTGCCAAGGGGTCAGATGCACCAAAAAGTTTAAGAACCCCTGCCTAGGACCTGAGTCATCCCTGACCCTTTTTCAACAGAGAGGAGGATATATGTTTTGTCTTTCCCCTCATCTTGTCTCCTCCCTCTGTTTTCTTCTCTTTCTCTCTCTCCCATCCCCCATTTTCCCTTTTGTTTCCCCCCTCTTATTCTCTAGTAATTAATTACTATACAGTCACTTGCTTACATTTTAATGTTAGCTTCTTGGCCAGTTTAATACTGAGAAATGTTTTCACTTCTCCATGTGAAGGTAGGGCCAAAAATATCTCATCCTCGTTCATAATATTAAGCAATTTTCTCCTAAATAAAACAAGTTTATCATAATCCTAATTTAGTGATATTCTTACGTTTTAGTTGACAAAGAGATGATGCAAAAGATAAGGGAGAAATCTGTTTTACAAGCACAAGAAAAAGCAAAAGAAGCTATAGAAGCAAAAGCTGCAGCAAGGCGGGAAGATCAAAAATATGCACTAAATGTCATGATGAAGGTAAATTGCACATTGATAGGAAAGTCTTCTAATAAAAGAGATGATAATAAATTATCTAAGGATAATTAGTTCCAACCTCACCTTTTTGTTCATACTTTGGTTATAGGACTTACTAAGTTACAGAGGCTATCTACTAATTACATGTGTTCCTGAAAAAAATTTTTAATTTTATGTATTTATTTTCTAGAGAGAGGGGAAGGGGGGAGAAAGAGAGGGAGAGAAACATCAGTGTGTGGTTGCCTCTCGTGCACCCCTCTACTGGGGACCTGGCCCGCAACCCAGGCATATGCCCTGACTGGGAATTGAGCCGGCAACCCTTTGGTTCACAGACTGCGCTCAATCCACTGAGTTATACCAGCCAAAGCAGAAAATCTTTTTTTCCGAAGATTTTATTTATTTATTTTTAGAGAGAAGGTAAGGGAAGGAGGAAGAGAGGGAGAGAAACATCAATCAGTTGTTTCTTGAATGCACCTTTACTGGAGACCCAAACCTGCAACCCAGGCCTGTGGCCTGACTGGGAATTGAACTGGCAGCCTTTCATTTCGTGGAATGAAATGAGCCATACCAGTCAGGTCCTGGAAATCTTTATGAAAGTTGAAGGTATAAATGTTGGATAATTATAGATTTACTTGTTTCAGTGAGAATTTTCTATTTCCAGGGGAGTCAGAAATGATGTTTTATGGTATATTTTACCTCCTTCTTAATCTTGGAATAATGGACACAATTATTTAAAACATGAAAAACACTGAATATTGACAAATAAATATATTTTTAACAGTTGAGGATTTCAAATTAAAGCTTTAATCAATGTTTTTTGAGATATAATTCATATACCATACAGTTCACACATTTAAAGCTTACAGTTCACTCATAGTTGTACAAGCATCACCAAAATCAATTTTAGAACATTTTAATCACCCACCAAAACCGCCATGCCCATCAGCAGTCACTCTCCATTCCTCCCATCCCCCAGCCATAGGCAACCACTAATCTATTTCCTGTCTCTAAAGATTTACCTCTGCTAACTTGTTTTTGCAAGTAATGTCTTATTGTACATTCTTATTTTGACATTGTGAAGTGATTAAGGAATTCATAACAAGCATTATCTCGTCAAGAGCTCGGTGAACCCATGACTCTTCTTTTGCATTTCAATCACTAGTATTGTTTTTATAATCAGAAGTTCATAATTCCAAAGATTTCACCACTTCTTTTATCAGCTCTACTTGACTTTTAAATATAGCCTATCATTGTATACTTTGTTTTTTACTTAACCATGTGGTCAGCTGACCAAAGATTTCTGCTTACAGTATGCTTAATGAGTTCCAGTTTTTCTTGGTTGTATTATCATTCTGTCAGCCTTTTGATTTTTATTGTTTTCCTGAATTTTATTTTTTTAAAAGGCTTTATTTACATTTTTAGAGAGAGGGGAAGGGAGGGAGGAAGAGAGGGAGAGAAACCTCACTGCGCAAAAGATACGTTGATTGGTTGCCTCTAGCACACTCCCAATTGGGGACCTGGCCTGTGACGGAGGCACATGCTCTGACTGGGAATTGAACTGGTGACCTTTCGATTCACAGGCATGTGCTCAATCTACTGAGCCATACCAGCCAGGGCAATTTTCCTGAATTTTAAAAAATAAGAGCAAAATATTAAATTTAAGACCACAGATATTTACCGAACTAACTAATAAAACAGGGTACTGCTGGCCTTGTAAAATGAGTTTGCAGGTATTCCCTGCTTTTCAATTTTTTGGAAGAGTTTAAAAACTGTGAGTATTCATGTTTTTAATCTTATTTTATTAATTTTATTTATTGTTGTTCAAGTACAGTTTTCTGCCTTTTCCCCCCACCCCAGTCCAACACTCCAGCTCTCCCCACCTCCCTCCCGTTTCCATACTGCTCCCCCTCTTGTTATTGTCCACATGTCCTTTATAATTGTTCCTGCAAACCCTTCACCCTTTTCCCCTGAAATTCCCTCACCTCAGCCTGTTCTCAATTTCAGTGTCTTTGGTTATATTTTACTTGCTTATTTGTTTTGTTGATTAGGTTCCTGTTAAAGGTGAGATCATATGGTATTTGTCATTCACCGCCTGGCTTATTTTGTTTAGCATAATGCTTTCTAGTTTCATCCATACTGTTGCAAAGAGTAGGAGCTCCTTCTTTCTGCTGCATAGAATTCCATTGTGTAAATGTACCATAGTTTTTTGATCCATTCATTTACTGATGGGCACTTAGGTTGCTTCCAGCACTTGGCTATTGTAAACTGTGCTGCTATGAACATTGGGGTGCATAGGTTCTTTTGAATTGGTGTTTCAGGGTTCTTAGGCTATAATCCTAGCAGTGGAATTGCTGGGTCAAAAGGCAGTTCCATTTTTATTTTTTTTGAGGAAATTCCATACTGAAAAACTGTTAGTATTCTTATTTAAATGTTTGGTAGAATTTACCAGTGAAGCCTGGTCCTGGTCTTTTATTTCTTAGAAGGTTTTTGATAACTAATTTAAGCTCCTTACTTGTCATTGGTCTGCTTAGATCTTCTATTTCTCCATGATTCGATCTTGGAAGTTTGTATGTTTCTAGAAATTTATCCATTTCTTTGAGGTTGTTTGATTTGTTAGTGTACAATTTGGTCATGGTAGTTTCTTATGATCTTTAACATTCCCGTGTTATCAGTTGTAATGTCCCCTCTCATTTCTGATTTTTATTTTATTCTTCTCTGTTTTTTCCTTAGTCTAGCTAGAGTTGATGGACATTTGGGTTACTTCCACCTTTTGGCTATTATTTTGAATAATGCTGCTATGGACATGGATATACAAATATCTTTTCCAGATCTTGCTTTCAATTCTTTTGAGTATGTCTTTACCCAGGAGTAGAATTGCTGGATTATATGGTAATAGTGATTTTTTTAAACCTCACCTGAGGATATGTTTGTATTGATTTTTAGAGAAATGGGGGGGGAGAGAGAGAGAGGAAGAGAGAAGGGAAGCATCAATGTGAAAGAGGAGCATCCATTGGTTGCCTCTCATATGCGCCATGACCGAACCCGCCATCTTTTTGGTGTTCGGGATGATGCTCCAACCGGCTAAGCCACCCAACCAGGACAATAACTCTATTTTAATTAAATTGTTTTTCTTTATTGATTCTTTTTAGAGACACACAGACAGACATTGATTTGTTGTTCCACTTATTTATGTATTCATTGGTCGATTCTTGTATGTGCCCTGACCAGGGATCGTTGGATCCCTTGCAAAGCTTGGCATATCAGGACAATGCCCTAAACAACTGACCTACCCACCCAGGGCCTCCTTTTAATCTTTTGAGGACCTGCCACACGGTTCTTCATAGCATCTTCACCTTTTTATGTTCCAGCTAGCAGTGAACAAGTTTCAGTTTCTCCGTATCCTTACCAAAACTTCTTATTTTCTCTCTCTCTCTTTTTTTTTAAAGATTTTATTTATTGTTTCTGGAGAGATGGGAAGGAAGGGAAAAAGAGAGGGAGAGAAGCATCTATGTGTGAGACATGCAGTGATTGGTTGCTTCTTACATGCCCCCAACTGAGAGCCTGGCCCACAACCCACGCATGTGCCCTGATGGGGAATCGAACCAGTGACCCTTTGGTTTGCAATCTGTTCAGTCCCCTGAGCCACACCAGCCAGGGCTGGGATCATTTTCTTAATTTCTATTTCTGTCAGTTTGTTATTGGTGTATAAAAATGCAACTAATTTATGGATATTAATATGGAAACTGGACGATGGCTTTGGAGCATGGCCTGATACGAACCTGGTGTTTGCCTCTCTCTTCAGCATTGTTGACACACTTGAGAGCATCAGCCTGAACAGTCATGTGCACCATTATGGCAGCACGGAAAGATGGTGGGAAGAGTCATCTTCATAGTCAAAGAATGGTTTTGTGGTTTATAGTTTTTATCTGTCAGGGCTTTGAACGTGTCATCTCATTATCTTCTGTCCTCCACTGTTTCTAATGAGAAAACAGCCTTTAATTATATTGTTGTTTCCCTGTACATGATGGGTCTTTTTTCTCTTGCTGCTTTTAAGATTTTCTGCTGTTCTTAGCTTTTTTACTAATTTTGTAGTTTATGTTGGATCTTTGTATTTATTTTACTTTGGATTTATCGAACTCATTATAGCTACAGATTAATATTTTCATCAAATTTGAGAAGTTTTAACTATTATTATTTTTAATATTTTTGGTTGAAAACTAGACATTTTAATTAATTCTGGCCTCCTCTTTTTTTTAATTTGTTTTTTGTTTATTCAGGATTATTTATTTTATAGCAGCTTCCCTTGATTTTAACTATGAAATCAGTTTAGTCTCCTTTGGATATATAGTTGCTGATGTCTCTGCTACATTTCTTTTTTTTTTAATTTGAATATATATTTTATTTAGAATGCAACACTAATAGCATGATGATAAACTTTTACAAATTTGTACCGAGAAGCATACAATCTTTAAAATGTGCTTTGTTTCGCAAGTGATTTAAGTATAGCATTATCTGATACTAGAATCAAAGACGACATTTAGATTCTTTAGCTTTGGGGTATTTAATAACTTCACAATGATTACCTAGTCATGCAGAGGAAAGAAATTCTAAAGCAGTTGATTTTCTTCTGTTAGTTCCTTTGCAGTGATATCCATCTTCTCACATGAGAAATCGTTAATAGGGAGACCTTCAACAGTCTTCCATGTCTTATTCTTGATTGTAACAAGGAATGAGTAGAGTAGGTCATCGGAACACCATAGGAGTTGCCATCAGAGATACCCATGGACACAAACTCTCCCTCTGGGGTCCCAAACCAGATGTCTCTGATGTGGTCACAGATGGCTTTCACAGCAGACATTGCACTGGACAGTTTTCGAGCCTTGATGACAGCCGCACCATACTGCTGCACCATTGTGATGAATTCTCCCTTGAACCAGCCGTCATCTTTCAGAGCTTCATAAATACCAATTTCTTTTCCTTGCAGTTTCACCTTGGCATGGTTG